GCAATGCTAGCGTGGCCAAGCAAGGCCCAGCGTGCTCGGACGCAGACAATCGACCTTACGAACGCTCCAGAGGACCTTAAACTTCTGTGCAGCACGGTGTCCCGTCTGTTGGATATGACCACCTCGGTTACTTTCGTAACAGCCACACTACTGAACCGGCATCTCGATCAGCTTTTGAGACCATGCATAGCTATTGGTTGGCTACCCAAAGCTTTTGCGTCCGATTCTGCACTGGAGTCGATTAGGCCTAGGACGATACGCCTCCTCGACAGGTACGTCTTGAATCGATTCATGTATCATCGATAATTTTCAAATCTCGTCAGTCTGCCTCCGTCTCAGACCATCGCTGCTCTAGGAGCCGTATTGTCAGTCAAGCCCTGCCCCCCTCATGTCTACAAGTCGTGCACATCGCTCCTCAGCAAGCAGTTATTACGACCTGGCGGCGTCCGTGGACTGTGCGCTGCTGTATTCGGAGAGGACGCTGACGAAGTCCAATTGGACAAAATCGAACACGTTGCTCGTGTGCTGACGACTTCTCCAGCAGGAATATCGGCGGAGGTGAGAAACTGGGGTGATTCTGTTGGTCGCAAGCTGACAATGTCCAGCTTTATTTCTCTACTATCACCCCGAGGATCCTTGAGCTGCTATCGGACAGTGCTCCCACGTCGTATAGACGCGCAGCAGCTTTCTCACTATCCCGTATGCTCACAATGCCGACATCCTCTGTGGTGCTTTCATTCCTCCATCCACCATTTCTTGCCGTCAATTCAGCGTCATCACCCCGCGCAGCTCTGTCCACAATCATGGCACTCGTCACAAACACTGACCCTTCTCCAACCCTCATATCTTCTCTTCTGTCGCCCATCGTATCTGCCTTGTATTCGCTGTTGTACCACCTCGACCAAGTCAAGACGTCCGATCCAAGCCTCAAGGAAATGCTCCGGGGACTGCTTGGGACGTGGGGAAGGGTTGTCGGTGCCACTGAGGCATTAGCAGTTTCGTGGTCTGTCATTGACGGTCAAGGCGGCGAATGGCGAGTAGATCTGGAAGGTCAGATCAGCCGCCTTGACAAGTGAGCAACGCTGTCCGGCACTTTCATGCACACTTACCGCGTTGTAGATCTGAAAAGCCAGCTCTGCTTTCACTACTAACCCCCGCGGACGATGATGATATTGACCTTGACAGCAATATCCTGGATCTGTACCCAGATCCTGCACATTTCGTTCGTTTCTTGAAATCTATGCAACGCACAGATGTATGCTCCGATCTTTTTGTGCGGTTATTGGAATCCTATCGTGATTCCAAGGCGGAGACCGATGTCGATCCCACACGGTGCGTCACTTCAATAGGTGTTTACTACTTTTAATGATGTTCAGAACACTGCTTTACCTCCAACTAGTCGTTCAAATGCAGACTCAGCTTTCCGACGGGCCCTCTACTATCCTTGGAAAACCAACACACATTTTATCCTTCGTGAAACATGCTCTGGAGTCCGAGCGTCCGGAACCTGAGACAAAGCCTGTCGACACCAATATCCTCAAGTTCGATCTCGAGAAATCTGATGATTCCGACGAAGGCGACAGTGACGACGACACACCGGGCGCTGACATTATTGGCCCAGGCGACGAAATGATCGAGACGTCGGTCAACTTACTTCTCGCGGTGCTCGAAGGTTAGCCGCTTATACTGGCTCTGGTCCCGGTCCTGATCAATATAGCCAATGAGGACCTCTCTACGAGAAATGCACCGGTCCTCAATGAAATATTCTCCTTGCTAGAGCCACTGTCCAACTCGAGGTCGACTTCCCTTCGGTCGTTGGCGCGAGAAGCACGACTGGTATTAACTGCTCGTTTGGCCTCGACTTCAGCACCGAAATGGAGCGCTCGCGAAGAGAACCACACTCAAGAGATTTATCAAAAGGCTCTCAAGCTCCTTCAAGATCCTATACTGCCTGTCAGAGCTCACGGACTCTTATTACTTCGACAGCTCGTCAGCCCGCAAAAGGCCCAAGGGGCAAAAATGTTGGATCCGGCACTGATTCCAGCGATTCTGTCCATATTTCTACAATCTGTAGAAGACGACGATTCGTACATGTTCCTCAATGCCGTGCAAGGTCTTGCGGCAATGGTGGATGTATACGGTAAAGATGTGCTCAGAGGGCTCATGAAGGAGTACAGTCGAGGCATGGATGGGCTTGGTGCCAGTACTATGACCCAACACGACGTGGACATCCGCATCCGAATCGCCGAAGCACTTGCGTCTGTGATTAAAAGGTGTGGCTCTGCGTTACCTGCGTTCAGTAAGTCGTTGGCTTGAAACAAGGCTGGTAGCTCACAGCTTCAAGTTGATCTTTTGGTGCCCCCATTATTCCACGTCGTTCGGTCGTCAGAGGTTCCCACAACCATTCGAACTTCAGCGATTTCCTTGCTGGCTGAATGCGAAAACACTTGTTCGGTGGCCTTGATTCCATACGTCACCGACCTCTCAGAAGCCATGGTTGATTTGCTTCAAATTCAGAGTTCATCCACCACTCTGGCAGAGTCAGAGGACACCAGCCCCACCTCAGCGAATTCAAAGTTGCCCTCGTTTCGACGAGCAGCGGTCCATTTTCTTGGGCTCTTGATCCGTGAAACCACCAGACAAGTATACGACTCGTCGCATTACGAGTTAGGGACAGTGTTTAAGCGCATCAGGACGACCTTGGCGTATATTTCTGCGACTGACAGCGACACAGTGGTCAGGGTAATGGCACGAGAAGCCGTAGAGGCCCTCTCAGAATTGGAAGAAGCCAGACGCATGGTGGTGGTGGGCAATACATGAATAGTTATACAATAAAATAAATATCTACCTCGTATCTGTCTCAGATGCGGAGAACTTGAGACAACTGAGTCAATAAGAAGGTATGTTGATCTAGGTTTTATTCACCAAGGTGTCCACCGCACCTCACTTGTCAAGGAATGAGCTGCGGCTGGAGAAAACCAAGGGGTCTATGCGCTCGAAGGATTGCTGACTACTCGGCTGATTTCGTCAATTCGCCGACGGAAATTCTTCCAGTTTGAACGGCCGACGAGAAGATATGGCGAGTGATCATTCGTCGCGTCTGTAGGCGCGTCTAGCTTCAAAAATGGGTTGCTAATCGCCGAATAATACGCCATGTGGAGGGCTTTGAATATCTAGTAATGGCTTAGCTTCAACCGCAAGGGCTTTGGAAACCACGCACGAGATTGACTTCTACATCTCGGACAACGGAATCTGACAGAGCCAACGCAATAACAATCTTGACTTTGAGAGGCGTGATGTACCCGTAAACCGCGACGTCCTCCATAGCATACAGCAGACCTAGGTAGCATTCGGTCGACTTCCCTCCAGCCGCCACTGGTTAAATGGTTAGAAGGCGGAATTAAAGGACGAAGAAGCTTCAACCTCGCTCTTCTATCACGTCCAAACTTGTATGTGCAATGTAGTGGTACTTTATCGCATGGTCTTCTTGCTTGGCGAACGTGCGGATGAGTATAGGGTGGTTCTGAGGGGAGATGAATGCTACAGCATTGAGGACCTTCATTTCGGCGAAATCTTGGCTGCAAACGAGCTCCAAAACAGAGCAATGGTTGGCTTTATCACGGAAACCAAACAACCGCTTCGTGCCAAATTAGGAAGCTGTGCGATTCGGCGATTTGCGTCTGAAATGAGGAGAGCTGCAACCAGTGTTATAAAAGTAACCCTTATAATTATATATCAGGTACCTCTTCAAAGACTTTTGGTCATCCGTGTATGCCAGAGGATAGATATTTTCCTTTGAATATCGGAGGGGTGCCAACGATGGCGGCACATGAGTTTTAGTTCAATAATCTAATCGTCTGTGCTTCCCACAAGAATAGACAAGAATATAATAAAGGGGGCTCAGTTTCCCTGCATCTACTCAATTTCTCTCCAACAGCATCCTAAGCACGACAGAGCGCGACTCAGCTTCTACACCAATGAATATCAACGTGCTCATCAATTTACACCAAGTACTACTAGGTAGAGATGATTTAAGGTATGAGAGGAAGGAGTGATTCTTTTTGTACAGTATGATGAAGGAGTGGATACGGCATCGTTTTAGAGGGGTATAAAACGTCGCGTATGGGGATCAGAAGAATGCGCACGGGCATTATGCATGCGAACGAGGAAGTGTGTATCACTCACGAAAACCTGCCCGTTGCTTCGATAAAAGCTGCATAACGACCGAGGCGTAAAGCGGGTCATACATGCCGGCTTTCTTCGTGGCCACAATGACCGAGCGGCGTAGGGGTTCCCAGCTACAAGGAAAAGGTGAGCACATCACATGCTGGGGAGTCAATAAGTCCAAGTTGTAACAGTAGGCGTTCAGGTATGAGGGGAGGAATGAGGGATGTGGCCGATGCACAGCTGAGGAGGTTGTTTTTGCGTGCAATGATGGAGGAACAGAGAGCATAGAAAAGATGCTAGAGGAAGAGCATCTAGCAGGGTCAGTAGCGACCGAGACAGACACGAGGAGGTAAGAGGCGTGGGTGCAAGGTACAAGAGACAGTCATCACCAAAAATGTTGATCCCATCAAAGGGCCTCGTGACCGCGGCAAAGGCCGTCCAGCCTTGGACGCATCGCGCAAGCTGCTAAACGGGCGTTCCCAGCCCCGACCTACGCTCTCAAAGGCTTTCCCAGGCTGGGCGGATTTTTGAGGCCTTTTGGCCCTGGGAAGGTCTTAGGAAGCGCCTTGAGAGCGCTCTGCACTTTTGGTGATGGTCGAGTCGACGTCGATGGTAAGTAGTTGTCGCGTCACGGTTGGCACAATCTGTGACGACTGTGACATGCAACCCGATTCGGACATGCCAGTCGCCAAATCCGGATCCATCTATTCAGCAGATAATAGTGACCACTAGGCCAGGGTCGTTCAGAAAGTTGACGCGTGTAGAATAGTTATTCTCGGGGTGGGGTAGCGATAGGGTAGTGACAAAATATATTTTTTCAGATGTAACCCAAGCCGTCTTTAGCTCAGTTGGAAGAGCATCAGACTGTAACGGAAACCTGCCTGGCTCAAACAGGCGTTGAGTCACGTGACGACATCTGGGTGTCGCCTGTTCAATCCAGGCAAGACGGACTGTTTTGTGCGCGCTCCAGACATTTCTTTTGCAACGAGACAGCTTGCCGTTGGTCTGTGAATATTTTAGCTTATTTTCTACGCTAATTCAATAAAAATTGTCCGAGTTACAATCGTAATTGACTGTCCCACTGAGTGGTAGATCAGAAAATGGTCTCTCTATTAAAGTTTGACTTGGAGGGAAGTGTTTCGCAGAAGAACTGAGTAGATTCGGTGTAGTACTACGATTTACGAGAATTTAATTAAATATATTCAAATCGGTACAATGAGTCCGTGTATGTAGATATCCAGGGAGGTATAAGAGCATAGGAAGGTAAGTAGGAGACGTTCGAACAGATAGATAATATATATAAAATGCGGGCGACATCGCGCACGGCAGTAAGGTCCAGCCAACAATTCAACCATCCAGTACCGCGGGGCTGCTTCGGTTTGTTATTCCAAATAGCTATTCTTATTTGAGGAAGGTATTCTCAAGTATATTACTACAATCTGAGCCATGTTTGAGCCCTAGGATCGCAGACTGGGCCAGTACCGACTGCTGTATAATCTGCACTACCCGGAGACGGCCTACCAACATTTGGTCAGAGCTTTGGTATTGAAAAGTCAGTCTTACCTTCTTGGTGATCTCGTAAATCCGGCGTTGGCTCGCGAACAAGATTGCGGCAGTCAGAACGCTTTGAATAAGTTTGTTGCCGATGCCTTTGTAAAGCCCGTGAAGGCCTTCGTCTTTCAGAATGGTAAGAAGGCCATCTATTGCCGACTTGTATTTGAGAGCGTGTGCGTGTCCTGCTTGAAGACGGCTTTTCACGACGCTACGAATATGTTGGTAAGACCGAATTGGGCGAATCATGGAGCTCACATGTATGGATATGTCAAGGATGTGGCAACTATTGGTTCGATGAGTTCACCCCATTGAATAGAACGCGCTACGACCCACGAAGTTTGGCCAACGCGCCGAGTAGGAAGAAATCCCAGTCGGTCAGTACGGCAACCGCAGTAGCGAGCCCCGCAGCCCGTAATTTGGCCGTTCGTCTGGCGACGAGGAAATTCTTCATTTGCTCGAACGCAGTATACTGTAAGGAGGTCAGTGTACTACGAATCAACGGTTGATAATGGGAGGACCTGCAGAACAGGGTTGATTACAAGCACTAGCGCAGGACCAATTCCACGCCAGAATGCTCTGAGAAGTGTTGAGCTCAAGACACATGATCAATCTTAGAAAATTATTACTGAATACCGCCTTCCCGACTTACGGCTCGAACGGTTTCAAGAATTGAGAGCTTTTTCTTGCGTTGGTAAGGATCCAATGACGGCTCAGCGTTCAAGGTCTGCACAGCCTGCTTGGTCTGCCAAAGTCGCATAAGGAGCCAGATTAAAGTGTTGTCAAAAAATACCTGAACAACCCAAATTGGATTGCTGATGATTGTGGTTGCAGATCCTTTCATGATTCAAACGACACGTAGCGCACGGGAGCGAATACACCTACCAGCGATGATTCCCATTATAATGGACTCTCCGGTGGTCAGCGCTTTACCGCTTTGTGTCCATTTTCTTGCCCGCTCATAAAAGTAATAGTAGACGCTGATTCGAGCCGTGAACTCCAGAGTTGGGACGCGGACACTTCATACCCATTTGTCACTGCGATGCCTAACAGTCCGCTGTAAAGGCCGCTATAAATTCCCAAAGGACCTTCACGTTTGATAATGTCCACCACAGCCTGATAGGTGCTCTGCGTGCGTTCCAATGAGCTCTGACGTATGCGTTTGAAAGTGACCTTGCCTTGGATTCAGTTTTCGTTTCGACGGCGGCCCTGGTGGACAAGAAAATTAAAGGGCTTGACAAATGTCAGTGCGATTGAAAGACGCGAAACGAATTGCACACTAAGTAGCGGTCATCGCGACAATGCCGGCTGCTCCGCCCGCAACAGCATGAATGGCAGGAGATTCGCTCATTGTGAAGGTGGAGGCAGAAACAGAACGTTCACGTTTGTATTTGAAGGTAAAGACGGATATTAGATACAATCACATGCCATCACGGATCAGTTAACACGGAATTATTCACGGTCTCGCCTTGAATGCAGCTTGCATCTCCTTCAACAGCTTCTTCATCTCAGCCACGTCCGCCGCCATACCATTCGAGCTGCCTCCCGCAGTCGGTGTCTTACCAACATCGGAAATGCCCCCACCATCACTAAGTGTTTGTTTTCCATCGTCCAGCGAGAGCCACTGGTCTAGCTGCGCCATAATAGACTTCGCCTTGAGCCTAAAATGTGTGCGGATGATATCCGCGAAAGGTTCCGGCGGGTTTTGCAAGTTGCCGAGCATCTGCGAAAACATGTGGGTAAATAATGAGATGGTGTAAATACGCACCGCTGTCCTAACGACCATTCGTCGCACGTTGGCTGAATCTGCCGAAAGTTAGATCTTCCGCGAGACTACACAGGATCACTTACATGCGCGGGACTGCGGGGTTCCGGCGCTTCCTGCCCACCCCGGCTCATTGAGATAAGGTTCTTCGCAGAGGATCATGGATTGTATCGAAATGAGAACCTGCCAAAGACTGAGCGTTGAAATATACACAAATCAAGCCAATTACTTGGAGCAACGTCGACCTTCCAGAAACCCACCCCGGCCCTGTCCACGTTCCAAGCAGCGATAAACAGACCTTCCCGTCCTGTATATATTGTCAATATTGGTGAAACAGCATGGTCGTGGAGCGTACTGCATAGAGATTAGGATTAAATCGATATTTTCCGCCATTAGTCTGTTGTGAGTTAGCATCGGTAGGAGGCTCCTATGAAATCTCACCGTCATATACTTGACACTGGGAGGCGATTGGTTGTAGGCTGGACCAAGGAATATATCGAACAGATAGCTGTTTTTTGTATGAGTGCGGTCGACCGGATGAGATTCCAAACTCACCAGCCATTGTAATATCTATATCGAAAGTATCAAGAACCGCAAGTCCAGAAAAACGAAGAGCAAAACATACGGCGTGCCTTCGGGTCCGGTAATAAGGGCCTTGATCACATCGACTCGGGTCTCGTCGATGCGCAAAAATATCGACGAGTTCCACGCTATCGGCAGATTATTGCTCAAGATCGAGAGCTTGCTTGGGGGGTCAAGATCTGATGAACTGGCAGTTGAAGAAGAATCCCCACCTCTTTGGCGATAGCAAGGGATCGTTTAGGTATGTCAGACAGAGCCAGCATGCGGATTTCATTGTTGTAATATGATTTATAGTGCGGAGGTTGAGATTCCAGCTCGTTCGGGGGAGTCTTCGCCGTCGACGGGATCGTCAGATCGCAATACTCGAATCTCACGCGCGTAGCCCAATTCACGTACGCCTTGGTCGCGCTCTCGTCCGTCGCGCCTGCGTCGACCATATACTCCTCCCCGGAAGATGTGGTGAATACTTTCGGTAACGACGCGTGCAGTCGCTCAACGAACGCATCGCCCTTGGTTTCACGCAGTGAGCGGTCAATAGCGGCTGCCGTGCCCAAAATCCGGTGGCAGAAACCAAGTAACTTTTGGTTCTCGTCCGCGATCGGGGCAGAGGCCTCCTTGGATTTACCCTTGGTATCGACCGTCATCCGCTTCTGCTCCTCCGTCAGCTCTTCGTCATTCTCTTCCGGAACCTTCACACCCTCCAAGGCTTTGAGCGCAGCATGGGCCTGGATAGCGACATAGCAGAGTAACTCTCGCGGGCTCGCACTTCCTTCATAGATGATAGTCCGTTCCCTGATCGGTGTGTTGTTCTGGGACTTCCTGGTCGTGACGGACTTGACTGAAGCCACCGTCATGATAGGCATGGCCATCATACTCGCCAAAGCTTCATGGGATGATATTGTCTGGGAAAGATTAAGCGTGCAAAATGTACAGCCTACTACGCTTACCTCGAGCCATTCCAGCAATTTAAAGTACAGCACAGAACGCTCCGACATGTCTGCCAGAGAATCGTTTCTTAGCAATGCACTACAGACATAGTTGAACCGTCTTCGCAGATGCGCTAATGCCGTTGGATGTGGAAGGAAATCGCTTGGATGATGGCCCTCGCGATGTAAAGAAGGAAGATATACGCCGATTTGGATTAGGAGCTTCCCGATCTTCTCGTCTTTCGCAGCCTGTACGGCCAGCGCCTCTTGTTGACCTGTAGTCTACACAAAATCAGATATCGAGCGTTGGGCTTGAATGAAAGGTACTTACGTCCTCTTTCTGGTCACCAGCATAACCAATCCCACCTTTGGCCCTCTTTCCACCGAGACTCGAGAAATACGTGTCGTCGTCGTCGTCGTCTGCGTCCTTCGAAAACAGCTTTGAAGTTTTTCTGCGTTTAGTGTTTCGCGTCTTATCAGGATCTTGGGCGGCCGCTTTCGGTTCTTGAGCCTGCTCAGTGAACATTTGTTCAAGCATGGACAGGCCGACGCCAAGGATGGCGCCTTGTATATCGGCGCAGTGGAACAAGGGGTCGCCAGGAGCCGCGGCCCCAGGGCGCTGCACCTTCTGAGTTATCGGCTCGCCACAGGCCAAGCAAAATTCCGAGTGGCACCGCTCGCAAGTCTTGGGCACGACGCTTTGCAGATGTGTAATATACGAAGAAAACTCGGGCTGCGCAGCGTGCTGGTCAGCGATGCAGTAATAAGAGAGGAGGATAACAGACAAAGATCGGGAAGAAGTCGCTCTTCTTCCGAAGCACCGATGAGCCACACTCGTGAGGACATACGCAGTTCCCTTCACTCAACTGGGAATACAGCGCAAAGAGAAAGCTCTGCTCTCCGCCCGAAGGTGGCGGGCAGCCCTTCATCCACTCGCCCTGCGTCATGAGCTTCACCTGCTCTGCGCTCCCAGGGAGATGTACGAGCTCTGGCTCCTCCTCTATTTCGATGATTTCTTCACGATGGTCCTTTGAGAAGAATACACCTAAGACAAAATAACAATGAATCATTCCGTGCAATGAACAAAGGGAAGAACCATACGAGCATATGGGTCCGCGTCCGGATT